TACATCCCTTCCAAGTGGATGACAGTGGTAGCCAGGCACCATCTAGTTCTTCTGGTCTCATAGTTGTATAGGTTGCAGATCAGATGGTGTACCAGTTGCATTGCATGGTGTACCAGTCGTTAGGACTAACTGTTTCCATTAATTTTGGTTTTCTTCTTTCTTCTTTGCTCTTGACGAGGAGAGACCCATTGTTGCATCTAGATGAGCAGCCCAATGTTTTAACCACAGTGCCACCAGAGCTCCCAAAACAAGTATAAAACCAAACGAAACTCATACCATTGAGTCGATTCCAATTCATAGTGACCTCCTTTGGGTTTCTAAGGCTGTAAATCTCTATGGAAGCAGATTGTTTCATCTTTCTTCCATGGAGCGGCTGGCTGGTGGGTTCACTGGCCTTTTGGTTGTTGTTATGTACCGTTGAGTCACACCCCACTCATAGTGACCCCTCCTTGGGTTTCCGAGGCAGTATTACTACAGAAGTAGATTGCCCCATCTTCCTTCCAAGGAGTGGTTGGTGGGTTTGAACCGCCAGCCTTCTGGTTAACAGTCAAGTGCGTTAGGCACTATGCTACCAGAGCTCCCGGCCTTTTGGTTAGTAGCAGCAAAATGCCTTAACTGCTGTAGCACCAGAGCTCCTTAAGGCAAGAACAGTACAATGTTAATAGTAGAATCTAGGTGATGGGTATATGGGTGTTCACTGGAAAACCTTTCAATGTTATGTTTGAAATTTTTATGATAAAATATCATAGAAAAAAGTTATAGGAAAGTTAAGGAAGGTGGGGATCTATGAAATATTCATGGGAATGTGGCATTCTTTTATCCTCCTTTTTCTCTCAGCTACTTAGTATCTGCGGCCCCTTAATTGAGTCTCAGAGTGGTACAAACTGTTAACATGCTCAGCTGTTAACAGAAAGGTTGGAGGCTGGGGTTCACCCAAAGTCCCCTTTGAAGAAAAGCCTAGTGATCTACTTCTGAGCTATAAACTATCGAAAACCGTATGGAGCACAGTTGTGCTCTGACACATGAGTGGTCACCATGAGTACTACTTGACTGTATGGCAAATGGAAAAAATAAACCAATCAACCTTAACTATGGGGTCATCAAGCCTCACATGCCGATAAGTCCTATCTTGGACTATAAAAAGTTTTTCAAAAGTCCTTGAAGACTTTGGTGGGGGGAGGGGAAGACTGTTGTGAGAAGTGGGGGCACTCAAGGACAAGTTCACTGCCTTCTGGCTATTTATTTGGTAAGGCACTCTCCTAGCTAACCTCTCCCAGATGCTTGCCTCTGGGCACCAGGTAGCTACCTTCTCCATCTTGTTGTTGTTAGGTGCCATCAAGTTGGCTCCAACTTATAGTGACCCTATGTCCAACAGAACTAAACACTGTCCAGTCCTGCACCAGACTCACGATCCTTGCTATACCTGTGCCCATTATGGCAGCCACTGTGTCAATCCATCTCGTTGAGGGCCTTCCCCTTTTTCACTGACCTTTCCATCTTAGTGTCCCATTTGAGCTTCTGTGGAGTTTGGTTTTGAATGATTACAAGAAGTATTTAAAAAGTGAAAAGAATGTTTGTGTTTTCAGATACTATTACATTTCTTTAATAATTTATTTTGAAAATTATTTTGCATTTAAGGTAATTTATTCTCTTTTAAAAAGAGAATGCTAATGACTTAATTCTCTTCTTAGATTTGGGACCCCATCAGCTCACTGATACCATTTAGCTTCACCAGAATAGAGGCTGGGAATTATTAGTCCTACCTCTCTCTGTAAGGAGCTCTGGTAGCGCAGTGCCTAAGGCATTTGACTGCTAACCAGAAGGCTGGTGGTTCAAACCCACCAGCCGCTCCTC